AGTCACTAACAGTCCTCATTAACAACTACTCACCCTCCCAGCCTGATTGTTAGCAACTCCTTTGTCTGTCCAACTGTCTTTCTCTCTCTTTGGGCTCTATCCTATCGTTTACTCCCTACTCCACCCACCTCCCTATTTTCTGCATATAAACTGACTTTTTCCCAGCCACCATCAGTTCTGAGGAAGGGTCACCGGACCCGAAATGTTAACTCTGTCTTTTCCTTCACAGATGCTGCTAGACCTGCTGAGCTTTTCCAGCAGGATTAAAGAAAATCCCAAGGCATTTTATACATTTATCAGGAGCAAAAGGTTAGGTCCACTCAAGAACAAATCAGGGAATTAATGTGTGGAGCCAGAGACAGTGGCTGAGGTCCTTAATGGATATTTTGCTGTGGTGTTCACAAAAGAGAAGGACATGGTGGATAACAAGGTGTAGAGCTGGATGAACACAGCAGGCCAAGCAGCATCAGAGGAGCAGGAAGGCTGATGTTATTGCAGTTCCTACTATTCAGGACATGGTGGATGGTGAGTCTCAGGAAGAATATATTGATGTTCCAAGGCAAATCAATATATGAAAAAAAGGTGTTGGGTGTTTTGAAAAGCATTAAGGTAGACAGGACCCCCTTCTATCCCAGAATGCTGAGGGAGGCAGGTTAGAAAATTACTGGGACCTTGTATGAAACCGTTGTGCCCTCTTTAATCACAGAAGAAGTCCTAGAGAACTGGAGTATAACCAGTGTTACTCCTTTGTTTAAGAAGGACAAAAGGGATAATCCAGGAATTTACAGGCTGGTGAGCCTTACGTCAATGATAGGGAAATGATTGGAGAAGATTCTTAGGGATAGGATTTACTCACATTTAGAAAAATATGGACTTATTAGTGATAGGCAGCATGATTTTGTGTGGGGGAAGTCATGTCTCGCAAGCTTGATTGAGTTTTTTGAGGAAGTGACAAAGATATTTGATGAGGGCAAGGTGGTGGATGTTGTCTATATGAACTTTAGCAAGGCCTTTGACAAAGCCCCTCATGGCAGGATGATACAGAAGATAAAGTCACATGGGATCTGTGGTGAACTGGTAAAATGGTTACAGAACTGGCTTAGTCATAGAAGACAGAGAGTAGCAATGGGAGGGTGTTTTTCAGATTGGAGATCTATGACTAGCGGTGTTCCACAGGGATCAGTACTGGGATGTTTGTATATAAGTGATTTGGAAGAGAATGTAGATGTTCTCATTGGTAAGTTTGTGGATGACACAAGGATTGGGAGAGCTGCAGATGGTGAGGAGGATTGCCAGAGGATACAGCAGTATATAGATAGGCTAGAGACTTGAATGAAGAAATGGCAGATGGAGTTTAATCCAGACAAACGTGAGGTGATGCATTTTGGGAGATTAATGCAGGAGAGAACTATATAAGGGCAGACACCTTTGTAGAATCAACATACAGTGGGATCTAGGTGTACAGGTCTACAGTTCCCTGAAAGTGGCTACAAAAGTGGATAAGTTGGTCAAGAAGGCATATGGCATGTTTGCCTTCATCAATCGGGGCATAGAGTATAAAAATCTGCGAGTCATGTTGCAGCAGTATAGAGCTTTAGTGAGGCCACATTTGGAATAATGCGTACAGTTCTGGCGCCATGCTACCAGAAGAATGTGGAGGCTTTGGAGAGGGTGCAGAAACAGTTTATCAGCATGTTGCTTGGTATGGAGATTATTAGCTTTGAAGAGAGGTTGGAGAAACTTAGTTTGTTTTCACTTGAGCGTTGAAGGATATGGGGTGACCTGATAGAAGTTTAAAGGAGATATGAGAGGCAAGTTTTTTTACACAGAGTGGTAAGCACCTGGAATGCGCTGTCAGAGGAGGTTGTAGAGGCAGATACAATAGCAATGTTTAAGAGACAGGGAGTAGAGGGATAAAGACAGCATAGAGGCAAAAGGTTTTTAGTTTAGAAAGATGTCAAGAATCAGTACAGTCTTAAAAACCGAAAGAAATCAAGTTCAATAATTTTAGGGCCTAAACTCTCCCATGTCCCAGCCACCCCACCCCACACACCAGGCCCTGTTACCACATAGCCTGCCATTACACACTACCTACTATTAGTCACTAATAGTCCCCATTAACAACTATTCACCCTCCCAGCCTGATCGTTATCAACTCTTTGTCTGTCCAACTGCTCTTCTCTCTCTTTAGGCCGTATCCTATCGTTTACTCCCTACCCCATCCCCCTCCCCTTTTCTCTGCATATAAACTGACGTTTTCCCAGCCACCATCAGTTCTGAGGAAGGGTCACTGAACCCAAAACGTTAACTCTGTTTTTTCCTTCACAGATGCTGCCAGACCTGTTGAGCTTTTCCAGCAAATTTGTTTTTGATCAGTGCAGTCTTTGTGGGCCAAAGAGCTTGTCCCTGTTCTTTGTTCTAAAGGAAAGTAGTTGTGATTGTTGGAGGTCAGTCATTTCAACACCAGGACATCTCTGCAGGAATTCTTCAGTATAGATATTTTCTAATCAACCTGTTCAGAGATGTTATTATATACCTCTGGAGCAGGTGGGACTTGAACCTAGGGCTCTTGGTTCAGAGGTAGGGACATTAATACTCCATCACAAAACTCCAGGTCCTCAGAGTTTTTATTTATTTTAACAAGAAAAATACCGATGTGGCAATTGAGTATTTACAAGCAAAGCCTGATAAGGGCGATGCTAAAAGAATAATGTGGGGGTTAGGGTTGGTGTAGGGTGAGAGGGAGGGGACTAAATCAAAATGGAGTTGGAGGGACAAACAAAGCACTGTATTCCCCGCGGTGCCCACCTCTCTCTAAAGGCATTAATAGAATTGTGTGCTTCCTTTCCAACGACACCCGGTCTCAAGGAAGAGAGGCAGACAGTCAGCAGAGACGATTCCTTCCACAGCTCGCTGCCTGGACCTGTATATAGCCAGCCTGGCCAGGCCCAGGAGCAGACCCATGAGGAGATCCTTCAATCTGCCAGTTCCTCAGGGTAACATCCTGAGCCCAACCACCTTCAGCTGCTTGATCGATGACCTTCCCTCCATCATCAGGTTGGAGTCAGGATGTTCATTGGTGACTGCACAATGTTCAGCACTATTCACCATAAATGCTGGCCTAGCCATGAGCAAACAGACAGCAGGAAGCTCAGAGGAACAGAAGAATCTTGGGGTGCTTGTCCACAGATCCATAACGTGACAAGATAGGTCAATAGGGTAGTTAAGAAGGTATATGGAATACTTACCTTTATGGCCAGAGCAGAGAGGCCATGATGGAGCTGTACAGAACTTTGGTTAGGCCACAGCTGGAGTACCATGTGCAGTTCTGGTCACCACATTATAGAAAAGACGTTATTGCACTGGAGAGGGTGCAGAGGAGATTCACAAGGATGTTCCCTGGGATGGAGCATTTATGGAGAGAGGCTGGATAAGCTGGGGCAGAGAAGATTGTGGGGGGCAGGGTGCTGATGAGGTGTGTAAGATTATGAGGGGCATGGACAGTGCGAATGGAAAGCAGCTGTTCCCCTTAGTTGAAGAGTCAATAAAAAGGGGGTGTAATTTTAAAGTGAAATGCAGGAAGTTTAGAGGGGATGTGAGGAAAATCCAGAGGGTGTTGTGAGTCTGGAATGCACTGCCTGGGAGTATAGTTGAGGCAGAAAACCTCATAACCTTTAAAAAGTACTTGGATGAATATTTGAAATGTCATAACATTCAAGGCTACAGGCCTAGTGCAGGAAAATGGGATTACTGCATATTTAGTGTTTTTTTGGCAATATGGACTCTATGAGCCAAAGGCCCTCTTCTGTACTGTATGATTGTCTGATACAATTAATTTTTATTTAAATGATCATTTTTTTTGGTTTTCTAGAGAAATGAGCTCTAGTCTTGATTGCCAGATGTAGTAATGGTTTGGAACTGGACAAGGATATGTACATGTGTGAATAAAATTCAAACTCATAATTCAATCATGGCATCAGCGAGGTACTTGATACTTGCCTGCAAATTAACTGATTCTCCTATAATAAATGGCTGCATGGCAATTACAAATAGCCAGCACCTGTTTGCCCCATGCAGGCAGCTACTGTCACCCCCTGATAGAACGAATACTCAGCCGCTCCGTTACTTACACAGTAAGACTGTGACGTCCCTGTTCCTCTCCACTCGTTCCTCCAACCATTGCGCCAACTCCTGCAGTTTTGCTGTATCTAAGCTCGGAATGTGGAGCAGTGGGAATGGCTTTGATAAACTTTGTAATCTGATAAATCATAAGCACATTTAAAAGCTGTGAGCTTTGCAAAAGACAACAGAGATTAGTCCTTCAAAAACAGGAGACAAAAGTGTTTTATTGTGTCCTTTTTGTCATAGTCCCTTAGTTCGGAATGCAGGCTTCTTTTCAATATCCTGCATATATCTTCCTTGCAAAGTGCCCCTTAAAGAACAAGCGATAAAAACCTTGCATTTATCCTTATATCAATTCTGGGTTTCTCTCTCCACTTCTTTACCTGATCCTTACCTGAATAATACTATATCATATCGCTTAGATAAGGGTCCTACATAACAGCCATGTCTGGGAAAGTATAGAAATGGAGCTGACCAGAGATACTATTGAGTCAAAGAGAATGTAGTTTTGTGCATGCTTTTTGCCATTATCTCCAATTTGTTCCTTTTTTTGAAAAAAGAAGTAACGTGCAACTTACTTGCCAGCTTCCGAATTAAGCATCTGGAATGATATATAAATGGAGAAAAGTATTAACATTTTTTTAAGAGAGAACAACATTAATACATTGTTTGCAATGTATTTTATTGCAAACCTATCAAACTTAGTTGCAGGATTCAAAATACAAGCTGTAAACAGACAGATAAACTGGAGGATAATATTTATAGTCGTTAAAGGAACAAGCTCTAAATGGCTGATCTGTCAATCTTCAGAAAGACAATCATATTTCACTAGTTTCCTGGTATAGAAGCAGAAATTGTTACCTGTATGAAGATGGTTCCCTTTTCCTTCGAGATGTTACTCAGATTGCTCAAGTATTTCTGAACTTTGCTCTCTTTGTCACTGAAATCTCTGATCTGAGCATCAATCTCCACGATGACCCGTTTCTCCTCTCTGTCCAAATATTCAAACATCTCTCTTTCTTCACTTTCAATCCTCTTTCTCAGTGCATCACCCTTCTCCTTTATTTTCATTTTCTTTTGTTTTATTTCGTCCTTTGGAAGAAGACATACATGAACTTGTAAACAATATAAGACAGATTCTGTGACAATCTCATTCTGACCCTGAAGTGTTTCTACTCACACTCCTGAGTGGTAGCTGGTTCAACCCCACCTCAAGGATTTAATTATGCCTGGAATATAAAAGATTAAGGGATGATTCCATTGAGGGTTGCTGGATAAGTTAATGGTTCTGAAGGGGTTAATGTCCATGTTACTGTACCATCCACCCATTCTCCTGGTTGCATACACAGTCTGTGGGTGGAGACAAGGAGATCTACTCCAGCTTCCAGAGGGAGCAGATGTATCTGTACCAGCTCCTCAAGGTCCAAGATCCTGTGTCTGACCCAATGTACTTTACTTACTGCTACCAAACAACAGGGCCCCCTGTGGTGTATCCTCTATCACTAATCACTAGATAGGCTCAAGACAAAGCAACGGCCAAAAGGGATTTGTGGCAGCAACTTAGCTCAAATATAAAAACATAGAAATTAGGAGCAGGAGTAAGCCAGTCAGCCCTTGGAGCCTGCTCTACCATTCAATATGATCATGGCTGTTCAACCAACTCAGTCCCCTATTCTTGCTTTCTCCCAGTAACCTTAGTTTCCTTTAGCCCTAAGAACTGTATCTGACTCCTTCTCAACCGCTTTCTGTGGCAGAGAATTCTACAGGCTCACCACTCTCTGGTGAAGAAATTTCTTCTCATCTCAGTCCTAAAATGGCCAACCCCATATCCGTAGGCTGTAAGCCCTGGTTCTGGACTCCCTGGTTGTCAGGAACATCCTTCCTGTGTTTACCCTGTCTGGTCCTGTTAGAATTTCATAGGCTCTGAGATACACCTGCATTCTTCTAAATTCCGGTGAATATAGTCCTACCTGAGTCAGTGTCTCTTTTTATGTCAGTCCTGCCAACCCAGGAATCATTCTGGTAAACGTTTGCGGCACTCCCTCCAGAATATTCTTCCTCAAATAAAGACATCAAAACTGCACACAGCCCTACCCAGCACTACATTGTGGTAGAGCCAACAAATATCACGAGGGAACAGGAGTGGGTATCTGGGAAAATAGAGTGGGATTTAGAATTTCCAAAGGTATCAATAGGATAGAGCTGGATGAGTTCCTCTGATAGGGAAGCTAGAAAAAGGGAAAATAGGATCAGGAGGAGATCATTAACCCCCGTGAGCTATTCAACCACTGAATGAGATCATGGTTGGGCCTGTTTCTTAACTTTGCTTTATCTGCCTTGACTCTAGTTTGTTTATTGGATCTGCATCTACTGTATTTTGTGGGAAAACAGTCCATGCTTTCCTTGAGGAAGGTTTTCTGAAATTCTCTGCTGAATGGCCTGGCTCTAATTTAGTCCCCTTCTCCTGGATTCCTGACTAGTGGAAAAGGCTTTACATAAAATCTTCAAGACCTCAACCAAAGCACTCATGTTATTTGTGATAATACAAGACTAGTTTCACATAAACGCGCCTCCTGCACCTTGGATCTGCTGATAGCACAATGTTGTGTTCCTTTCTAGTCCAGGATATCCTATCTAAGATGTGGTTTCCAGAACTATACACAGTGCTGCACATGTTGTCCAATCAGAACTTCATCTAACTGGAGTAAACTTTTCTGTCCCTGACATATTACACCTTCTCACTGACCCAATGACAGTGCCCCATGGAATTCAAGCTCCTCCTTTTCCTATCACTCCTTCCTATTTCCCTTCCAGATCTGTGTCAATGTCATTGAAAATATCAGGGAGACAAACAGGAGGCTGGAAGAACACAGCAAGCCAGACAGTATCTGGAGGAAAGGAGCAGTCAACGTTTCAGGTCCAACCTTTCTTCAAGGACTGGATGTGGGGGTAGGAGGACCTGCAGATAAAGAGAGAGGGGAAGGATGGAGGCAGAATGATGGTGATAGGTGGACACTGGTGGTATTTATGACCTGGTTGGTCGATGGGAGGGATGAATCCGATTGGCTGGAGGGGAGGGTCAAAAGGTGGAATGGAAGGGGAGGTGGAGGTGGAGCTGGAAGGGCAGCTAGGGGATGGTTACTTGAAATTAGAGAACTCAGAGTTGAGTCCTTCGGGCTGTAGGGTGCCCAGGTGGAAGGTAAGGTGTTGTTCTTCAAATTTGCGTTGCGAGTCGCTGCTTGACATAAGCGACAAACAGGCAGGCGTAGCTGGGGCCCATGCGAGTGCCCATGGCAACACACCCCCACCCTGGAACTGGAGAAAGTGGGAAGAATTGAAGGAAAAGGTATTGAGCGTGAGGACTAATTCAGTGAGGTGGAGGGTGGTATTGGTGGGGGGGGACCTGCATGGGTCTGTTGGACTATACACGTCCATATCCCACAAGGATGGCCTACAGTCCCTCAGTTCTTTCCTTTCCAACAAACCCATGGGTCCCAGGTCGTTACTACCAGTGTCCACCTATCACTGTCATTCTGCCTTCCCCCCTCCCCTCTTTATCTGCAGTTCCCTCCTACCCCCACATCCAGGCCTGAAGAAAGGTTATACCCAAAACGCTGACTGCACTTTTCTTCCGGATGCTGCCTGGCCTGCTGTGTTCTTCCAGCCTCCCATTTGTCTACCTTTGATTCCAGCATGTGCAGTTTTTTGTTGTGCCATTGACAATATCACTCAGAATTAAACCTGAGCTTACCAAAAGATATGGTTTTGTCAGTGAATCCCTACCAGATGATAATCCCTCTGTATGACTTCCTCCCTATCACCATCTATCTCACTGACCCCAACATAGATCATGAATTAACCTCCTCCTTTTCCAATTTCCTTTCTAGCCTCATTTCTTATTCTCTCTTCAGATAGCACCAGCTCCCGTGGGACTCGGGATTGTGCCACATGGGTGTGACAGACAGTCTGCTATTTATTGAACCTCTTCCATTCCTATTCGCCTTCTCCCAGCTTTGGACAGCTCTGCGGTGAGGGTGGTCAGCACTGAATGTGCCCTCTCTGCAGTGTTTCTTTTTATCTTCACAGGTATCAAGTACACTGCACTTGTTGGGTAAGACCATTGCCCTCCTGTTTCATATCCTGTTTGTTCTCTCTTCCCTGCTTAACTGGGGGCTATACTCCTCTCTTCAACTGCCTGTTCTCACCTCTGAGGAAAAGCAAGAAGTAAGAAGATAAGAAACTGGAGCAGGAGGAGACCATTCAGCCTGCTCTACTGTTCAATATGATCATGGCTGATCTTCAGTTTCAACTCCACTCCCATCCAATTTCCCTTGACTCCATGAGAGATCTAAAGCCTGTCTATCTCAGTCTTAAATGTACTCAATGATTGAGTGACCACAATTCTCTGGAGCAAAAAATTCCAAAGATTCACAACCCTTTAAGTGACCACATTTCCCCTCATCTCAGCTTGAAATAATTAGTACATTCTGCTGAAATCGTGTCCCTTTTTTTCCAGGAGTATCGGCTTCTCAATGTCTCCCTTGTCATATAATGGAAAGAGATTTGCGATCTCTACCATCAACTATCCAAAAGGTCCAAACCGCAACATGCAGTTAAAGCAATGTACTGCACAGCAACTCTGCCCTAAGGTGGGGCAGTTCAAAACTAAGGGATATATTTTTTACGGTGAAAGGTAAAAGATTTAAAAACCACATGAGGTGCAACAGTTTTACACAGAGATCGGTTCGTGTGTGGAATAAACTTCCAGAGAGAGTGATGGATGTGGATACAGTTAGAATGTTTAACAGACGTTTGGGTAAGTACATGAATAGGAAATGTTTGGAGGGATATGGGCCAAACACAGGCAGGTGGGACTAGTTTAGTTTGGGAGCGTGGTCGGTGTGGACTAGTTAGACTGAAGGGTCTTTTCCATGCTGTATGACTGTATGGCTCTTTAACTCAAACTCTGCAAGTGACCTGTGTGACTCTGTGAGAGAGAGTGAGAGAGAAAACCATTGACATGACCAATATTTACCCTTCATCAACATGGCTAAAAAAAACATAAATTATGGGGCCAGTAGGAGCTTCCTGTGATTAAATTGGATGTTGCATTTTCCACATTACAAAAACCTGGAAGCTGCCTACCTTTGTTTTCTGCTTTTCTTCCTGAAGATCTCCAAGGGAAGCTTGTACTGATTGGATGTTGGTCCTGATCTTTTCTGTTCGATCATTGAAGTAAGCCTGTAACAGAGTCACTTATTACTTCAATCAATCCTTCATTTTAAATATGTAGCCAATTGATAGACTCAGAATTATAAATCCAAAAATGGAACCTGGAGAACAGTTAGCAGAGTCACCATGAACACATCACAGAATTGTTATCATTACCACTCGGCCCATCATGCACTGGCTTCCCATAGGAGCATGTTACTTGGTGTCACTCTCCCACCTTCCAATAGTAATCCTGCACATTCTTCCTTTTCACATAACCGCTTGATTCCCTTCTGAAAGCCTCAGTTGACCCTGCCTCCACCATTTTTTTAGGCAGTACTTTCCAGATTGTAGTTACTCACCGCATGGAAACATCTTCCCTCATGTAACTGTTTGCTTCATTTACCTTAATCTATACCCTGGTGTATCCACCAATGGGAACAGTTTCTCCCCCTCTGATCAGACTTCTCATCATTTTGAACTCCTCAGTCAAATCTCCTCATGACCTGCTTTTCCCCAAGGAAAAGAGTCCAAAATTCTCCAATTTTTTCTCGTAACTGAAGGTGCTCATTCTGGGGACCATCCTCAGGACTCTTCTGCTCACACATGTCCAGAATGTGGTAGGATGCCATTCAGCTTATCGCATTGGGTCAACTCTTCCAATAAGCATCTTAGTGCTATTCCCTGCCTTCTTCCTATAATCCTACTCATTGTGCCCTTTCAGAAAGGCGTCAACTTCCCCTTTCGAAACCTTGATTGAATCTGCCTCCATCACACTCTAAAGCAGTGGATTTCAGGCTTGCTGCAGGGGAAAAAAATGTTTCTCCTCCTGTCACTTTTCCTTCGGTACTGTCTTTACTGACTCCTGAAAGAGTTACCTAGCTAGTCTCTCTCTCCATAGCCCTCTAACTTCATCCCTTTCAAATACACATCTAGCTCTCTTTTGAAATCTCCCAAAGAATCTGCTTCCACCACTCTCCCAGGCAGCACATTTGAAATCCTAATAACCCTCTGAATGAAGAGGTTTCTCCTCATCTCACTCCTAGCTGTCTTGCTGACAATCTTGAAATTGTGACCCGATGTTATTAAGATACTAACTGATGGAAATGGAAATGTTTACCCTCTCAAAATTGTTCATAATTTTGAATACCTCAATAAGGTCACCCCTTCATTTTCTCTGTTCCAAGGAGAAGAAGCCCAATTTCTCTCATTCTTCCTTGTATCTCAAATTCCTCATTCCTGGTATCTTTCTAGAAAATCTTAATCTTTTCACGAGTGGGAACAGTTTCTATCTGCTCTATCTGGAATGTCATGATTTCAAATATTCAATCAGATCTACTCACTGCCTTCTTTTCTTGAAGTAAAACAGTCCAAACTTATCCAGTCCATCGTCTAAAGTTCCTCGTCCCTGGAACCATTGTCATAAACTTCTTTTGCATTCACTTCCTTCTTAAAATATGGCACCCACAATGAAGCACAATACACTGGCTGAGGCCAGACTGGTTCCTTGTACAAGCTCAATATCGCCTGCTTGCTGTTGTACTCTACCCTCTATTAATAAAACCTGGAATACTGTCTATTTTTTTAACTGCTCTGTGAACCTATCCTGCTACTTTTAATGACTGAGGCAGATATATATTGAGGTCCCTCTGATCCTGCACACTCTTTACAGAATCATTAATTGAGTATTAACTCTACATATGAATAATAATGAAAGGGTGTGGTGCTAGAGACGAGTCAGATAGCTATCATTATGCCTGTATTTAGCAATGAGAATAGAGTATGTTAGAGGATCTCTAGTTAAACTAACAGTAGTGGCAGTGAAATAAAACAGAGTCTTAACTAAAGAAGATATTAAAAGAAAACAATCTAAAAAAGGAACTTAGAAGCCAAAAAAAATCAATGGAGTCAGCAATGGATTTCAAAAGGTGCTGTATGCAACAACGCTGTGCCGTTAAGAGAGATGTGTTCTGTGCTGTTTCTCTTGCAGAGAGCTGTTGTCACAGTGGTACCAGAGTGTCTGTTTTAGAAGCAGTGGGTAAACAGCTCTGAGTTCCCTGACTATGTCTTTTTTTAACTGGACAAAGGAAGCATGAGTGGGTGGAGTCAGTCTCACACAGACCCAGGGTTTAGTTTTGCTTTTGGTTGAGGTTTGGAACTGGCTGTTGAAGCTGATAGATACAGCTCTCTGCTGCAGCAAAAAGCTTGAGTGCTCTCTCTGCAGGTAGATTGTTTCTGTCCGTGTTCCTTTCTCCTGGACTGGAAGGGAGTTAGCACGTGAAGGAAAATCTGTTTTGCTGAACTTCCCTTTGCCAAGGGTGTGCTATATTGGAACAGTTGGTGATTATTACTTAAATAACATATAATTAGAGATGGTAGGAACTGCCGATGCTGGAATCTGAGATAACAAAATGTGGAACTGGGTGAACACCGCAAGCCAGGCAGCATCAGAGGAGCAGGAAAGGTGACGTTTCGGGTCTGGATCCTTCTTCAGAAATGGGGGAGGGGAAGGGGACTCTGAAATAGAGAGGGGGGGCGGTGATAGAAAGTGGATAGTGGAGCAGATAGGTGGGACAGAAGATGGACAAGTCAAGGAGGCGGGGATGAAGCTAGTAAAGGTGAGTGTAGGTAGGAAGTTGGGATGTGGGTTGGTCAGTGAGGAGGGAGAGGCGGATATCTGGGAGGTAAAACAGACAGGTCAAGGAGGCGGGAATGAGAGGGGGTGCTGGTCTTGGGATGAGGTTGAGGGTGGGGAGATTTTGAAGCTCATAAAGTCCACATTGAGACCATTGGCTTGTAGGGTTCCAAGGCAGAATATGAGGTGCTGTTTCTCCAGTTTCCGGGTGGCATCATTGTGACACTGGAGGAGGCCCAGGATGGACATGTCGTCCTGTCTTCTCTCCCACCTATCTGCTCCACTATCCACCCCCTATATAATTTTATTAAGTATTTCAATAAAGTTAAAGCTACGCTAATTCTTCTTTGTTTGTATTTAAATTATGGTGTAAGATTTATGAAGTGTGCTTTGCTTAAAGCCTAGAAGTTTGACCAATTGAATCACATCTGGAATGCTGCACCTTCCACTTACCTTTTAATAAGATAAAAGTTAGGGTCTAGGCTATCTCCTTGATATGTTTTGAAGAGGTTTCAAAGTCTCTAATTCCAGGTTGGGTTTAGGATTATTGGACTCAAAGACTGAGCGGTGTGTGTTGGAGTTCCCTTTTCAAGTGTTTCATTCAGTTGATTTCCTCAGGAGTGCTCTTTCAGTGGCTAATTGCAGCAGACAAAGAGCAAAAGAATTAGAACAGCTTGAATATGAAAAAGAAAGAAACTGTTTGAACTACAATTAAAAGCAGAAGAAAAGGATAAAGGGAGAGTTTTTGAATTCCAGAAGCTGGCAATGAAAAGTGAAAGTCGACTTAAAATGATGGAGGTAAAGATAAAAGGTGGGATTAGTGATGTGGACAGTGATAAAGAGCAAACCCATAGTGACCAAAAGCCTTGTGACGATCTGTTTAATTATGTCCAAGCGTCACCCAGGTTCGACAAGAAGGACGTAGAAGCCTTTTTCATTTCATTTGAGAAGGTGGCTAAACAAATGAAATATCCACCTGCCACCTGCCATGTGGGTTTTGTTAAAGTGGTAAAGGAGATCACAGTGGAAGCTAAAAAAATGCACAGCCTGGTCAAGAGTTGGTTCAGAAGAAAATGCCAGATCTCTTTAAAGAATTCACTTGCATGAGTAAGGTTTGCTCATGTGTGCCAGGAGGAGCAGGTAAAGAAATTAAGATTTTAAGGGATACAGGAGCAAGTCAATCTTTAATGATGAAAGATGAGGAGATATGTAATTCAGAAAGAGTACTGCCAGGAAAAGTGATAATATATGGAATCCAAGGTGAGAAGGGCAGTTTTCCATTTTATAAGGTGAGTTTGGAGTGTCCGGTGAAAAGTGGTGAAGTGGTGGTAGGAGTAATAGAGAATTTCTTAGTTCTGGAAATACAATTTATCCTCAGTAATAATATAACTGGATCATAGGTGTGAGTGCTGCCTACTGTGGTTGAAAAGCCGGTGGAATGTCAAACAAGTGAGGTATTACAGGAAGTATGTCCTGGGATTTTTCCTGACTGTATGATAACAAGGTCACAAAGCCACCAGTTGAAGCAGAAGAAGAAACCAAAGAATAAAGATAAGGAAGTTGAAGTTCAATTATCAGAAACTATGTTTGATCAAATGATTGAGAAAAAACAAGAACAGATGGAGGATAGAGTGGATATTTTTAGTTCAGAGAAGTGAGCTGAATTAAAACAGAAAATAGAAAACATAACGCAGCTGTATCAAAAAGCATACACAGAAGAAGAATCTGAGTGAATCCTAGAATGTTACTACCTTACAAATGAAGTCTTCATGAGGAAATGGACTATTCAAGTGGATGAAAAATGGGCAGAAGTTCATCAAATAACAAAGTTTGGAGCTGGATGAACACAGCAGGCCAGGCAGCATCAGAGGAGCAGGAAAGCTGACGTTTCAGGCGGGACCCTCTGAAGAATTTCTGAAGAAGGGTCCCGACCTGAAACGGCAGCTTTCCTGCTCCTCTGATGCTACCTGGCCTGCTGTGTTCCTCCAGCTCCACACTTTGTTATCTCTGACTCCAGCATCTGCAGTTCTTGCTATCTCAGAAGTTCATCAAGTTGTATTACTGGTGGATTATAGAAAGGATGTGCTGCAGATAGCACGTGAGGTACCAGTAGGAGGTCATTTGGGAGTAAGGAAAACTCAAGTTAAAATTTTAAAAACATCTTATTGGCCTGGACTGCATAAAGATGTAATAGGTAATAGGAAAATCTAAGGCAGTGATAAAACCAGCACCCTTAATATCCATCCAACATTTCAGGAACCTTTTATAAGAGTCTTAATTGACTGCATAGACCTTTCCCTGAAACAAAAAGTGGGAATCAATATTTATTGACCAAAATGGATGTGTCTACTAGATTTTCAGAGGTCACTCTGTTACACAGTCTCACAGCTAAAAG